TTAGTTAGGTACGAAGTAAAGTAAATTTACTTATACTCACAACGAACGTATACTAGTCACTCGTACGTATATATATAATAATATATATATATATATATATATATATATATATATATATATTTATGGACCAGTCTTTAGTAAAAATATTTCACTAAAGTATCTGATTTTTTGTGTAGAAAAGTATTGTAATGTTTATGAGGTCAGTTGATTCAATTGACTTTGTAGTGAGAAAGTTAAATGATTATCCATGAGCAGCAATTACAATTAGTCTCATGTAAACTAACTGATTAATCAAAATTACAATTAAGTAGCTCAACTGAAATTATTGTTTCCAATTATTCAAACAATTGAATAGTTAAAATTTTGATTATATCAGTTTTCACAAAATAACCAACTACTCAAAATTAGTATTTCTGATTATTATGGTTTTTTATTATTCCATCAATTGATTAATTGAAGTTTTGATTAAATTGAATGTTATGAAAATGATCAACTAATCAAGATTAGAATTTCTGATAGTTATTTTTTATTATTATTCCAACTATTCATAGTAGTAATTAAGATATTGTTATTATGTTGTTATGTGAAAAACTACAACTTCTTTTTAACTTCAAGTATGTTCAGCTTTAGTCATTCAAGGGTGGATTCATGATTTTAGGCTCAATTTCCATTGCAACCAAACTTGCTTGACCTGTCTTTGTTATGGCACAGCTACTAAGACTATCTGCTGTTGTTGTTAATTTTGAACTGCTGACTAGAGGGAAGGCAATTGGCTGTTCAGATCCATTAAGCAACTTTTTCTTTTTCCTACCATGGTTTGAGGAACATCGTATTAACTGATTAATGGGGCCCATAAGTTAACCAATTAGCAAATACCATTAACTATCCAGCTCTAAACTCTACTAAACTAAGTGTGAAAAAGACATATAAAATGATTAAAACCAAATAATATCTACATTTCAGTAGTAATTACAAAAATAAACACAACTGTATTGAAAAGACTGATTCTTCTCACCTGAAATGTATTAATATTGGATGATGTTAACAAAGGTGACCTTGATATTCCAACCAAAGGCTGTAGAGTGGCTATAGTTACAACAGATGATGTGTTTTGTACAGGAACAGAGGAGCTTAGTTGAATAGTGCTGGGCAAATGTTCCACAGAACTGCTAATGGATTTGGCAGGATGAACAGCAAGTGAACCAGCGACTGGCTGCTGGCTTCTGCTAGGTTCAGATGATCTGGAGTAAACTAATCCTTCTTGCAATGTTGAAGAGCCAATAGCTAAAATAACAAAAAATATTTGTATGATAAATCAATTTCATAATAGTATATAGAATAGTTATATGGCAGAAAATAAGATAATTTTTATAATGAAATTACTTACAAATGTATTATTAATTCAGTTATTTGGTAGCTGTTAAGTGTAAATAATATCAATGACAGAGAACCAAAGAAATCCATTGTTAATACATCTAGAGCACTTTGGGCAGGCAATCTCCTAACTTTCAACCACAAGACAACTAAAGTTGTATCTTTGAAAACCAAAAAAAAAGGAAAAACTGAAGGAAGAATGAAAGACAAGTCACTAAATCTGTTATGCCTTGAAATGCACATTGATGAATTACTTGTGAGTAATCAGCAGAGTAAAAAAGTGGTTAGTTTAAGTATGTATACATACATTTAAAAAATCATCACCAATAGATACAATGCATTACAAAAATTGACAAACTAAGAAATTTAAATATGTAAAGAGAACTGTGTGACAATGTACAATTTTCTAATTATTCAAAACACATGCAATAATAAATACAAAAAACAACAAACGAAATGCATTTAGCATTTTCCATAATACAGTAACAGAAGCTTGAATAATGAACTACAATTTTCACACACACACAAAAAGGAGAAAACCTGAAACTATGTATATTAAAAGAAAGTGGAAATTATTAAACACTGCACATGCATTTACAGTGAAGATGCTCTACACTAACTTTTTAAGTAAATAACACATTTAGGCTAGCAACTATGAAAAGTCACTAACCTAAAACTAGTCATACAGAATTTTTTTGTGAAAACAATATTCACACAAAACACTTTTTTTTCAAGACTTGTCAGCTACAAATATACCTATAAAACTATATATATCATTAAAACTTTCTGAATGTTGTAAATAATTACTAAACAATTCAATCTAGTTAATTGTTATTTAAATATATTGAATATTGTAAGTGTAATGTGTATGTAAAAGTTTTGGACTAGCATATCCTGATCGTAATATTAAAAACAACAAAGTGAGCAGTGTATCGATGTCGAGTTGCTGAGAAAAAATAATTCTCTGACTGGTTTTTTTATTATTTCTGGTTTTTGCTTTTGGAAATAAAAATTGAGTATGCTAGGATTGAGAAACTAATGTTAGAGTTTCACCATAAAAAAAACAACAAAACAAATGTGAGTATATCAAAAAGTGAAATATAAAACAGATAATCAATATTAATTCTGCTTGTATTGGCTTGTGTAATTTCACCACCATGAAACTATGCATAACTCTGAATTTACTTAGTGTAACTTCACAAAATGTAGCAAACACTACTAGTCTGTTGTACACAAAAATTCAAATTTTTTTTTATTAGTAAAGCATTTTTACTAAAACTTTTTCTGTGTATTTGCTGAGTCAGTCTAAGTACAAGGTGATTTTCATGCTTGGAATAAAAATTTTCTTTTCACCTTAGAGTTTTCATATTTTATTTGCATAATCTCTAGAATCTTCTAAACAAATATCTAAAGTTTTTTCAGTAAAACATTATATACACCTGGAAAAAAGTTAAGCACCCCCGTGTTTTTTTCAAGTGATTCAGATTCGACGTTCTTGTGACTGATTATAAATTACCATTCAATCTAAACGTGTTTATCAAATGAAATTATGCATTATTGGGC